GAAAAGTTCTTAAGCACTTATGCAGACACAAACCATTGCCTAACTACTTGCCAGGCATTTCTCCTGGGAAGTAGCTACCATTACTCAGCAAGTCTTGAACAGCAGTGGCACATTTAGAGAACTTGTGGATTGCTAATTTTCTTTCCGTTTGCCGTCTTTTCATGTGGCAAGAACAAATACACTAATGAAAGATAATTGGCGTGTGTTGTTTTGGTGTTTTGCATGTCTCGCTGGAGATGAAAACGATACCCTGCCAGGCCTGCAAATGCTAATTGGTAATGCTAACTGCTTCTGTTATACAATGAGTGGCGATGTGGGACAAAGTGATGAATGGAGGAAATAACTGTCTCTATCAAAATGATCAGTCATCAATTCTTGCTCATGTATTTTTAAACTCGGTGGTTCCCAAAGTGTGGGGTGCGTGGGGCACAGTGCTATTGCAAGGGGGCACGAGAAGCAGTATGGATAAATGAAAAAAAAAGTTACACAAAAGTGTTTCACTGTGAAGATGATTTGTGGTGTGTTTTGTTGCAACCTGAAGTGTGGAATAAACTTCAGGGAGTTTGGAAACAAAATATGTGTAATAGTTTGTGTCTGTTTGAACGATGTGTGTATCCAGTTGAATTTTTTGTTTTCTTTTCATTTTGTAATCCACAGGCAGGCCCAGAAAATCTTTGGGACCCACTGAGGGTGGGCGTGGGGGGCAGAAAATCTCTTTGGGAACCACTGCCCAATGTAAAATTAAACAAATTTTACATTGACTTCATGTACAGAGAAAGCCTTACCTCTATTCTCCAGCGAGTACTGTCTGTTTAGCAAGTGGGAAATTACAACCCATCTGATTGTTTTGGCATTAAGAGTTCAGAGTCATTTGGGGAGTCTGTCAAAGGTTAAGAAGGCAGAATGCAAAGTAGCTACAGAGGAAGTAGACTGTGCAGTCTTGCTTTCACCTTCTAATGGGATCTGACAGCTACAAATGTTATGTGGATGCAAGATATTAAAGATGAGCTTATCTAAGACTGCAGCTTTTGCTTTAAGTATAAACTGTGCACATATGCTGTCCTGCGACACCTGCTAAAATGTTGCATGAGTAAGTAAGATAAATGCAAAGTGGCTGGTCAATTTTCCACATGACCAACTTCACTTAAGCTCAGACTGGTGCACACCTGGCAACCAGCAAGATGCTGTGAGGCTCCAAGGCTTGCATCACCCTGACTTCAATTCAATTTGACACTTAATAAACTACTTTAAGAAAGCAGTTCTGTCATTTCTCACGAAGAGTCCAACACCAATAAATCTGCCACTTTAAAAGAAAAAAAAAAGAAAAAAATTATAATTTGAAAGGGAATCTTGTTTTTAATATCCTTTAAAAGGAAGTGGGTGTGTTGGATGGCTGAGTGGAAGGGTTGCTCCAAAACTCACACTAACATGACTGGCTCACTCAAAAACGTTCCTGAAAATGTGCAGCTTGTGTGTCACTTTCCTCACCAGTGTATGATGGCACACAAACAGAAAACATAGATGTGGACAGAATGTAATTGAACACTTAGCAGTGCAGGTCACAGTGAAGCTTACTGGTGCAGTCTTTAAAGGTATTTGATTTCAAAAGAAAACAAAGGAAAAAGGAAAATATTAAATTATTTAATACATTTAATTCTTGATTTATCTCTTCAAAGGTGGTACAATAACCACTGTTACAGGTGAGAATCCGAGAAACTGCTGAAAAGTTGTACTTAATATTTCTATTCATCCCAAGGCAGCTACCAACACTAAAAAGAGAGTCCCATGTGACGATTCTGCCTCCAGTACTGTTTGACAAAGAGTACTGTAATGAAGGGCCAAAGTGTAGTTTACTACAAGTGTCATTAATTAACTATAATGGACAAACACTTGTTAGCATGTTTGATGCAACAAATATATAATTAACTTACACGTTATCCGCTTCAGATTCCGTAACATGTTGTTTCCCCCCACTAATAAAAAGCATTTGGTGTATATGACAGATGTTCATCAGCCAAACTAAACTTTCTTTCACTTAGCTCACAAATGTTGCCTTTTTCTTATCCTCTGTCAGTAATGGCATGAATATAACAAATACTGAAGGGAGGAAAACGATCCCCAAGTTTCATCTGTATCCATACATACCTGTCTAATTGTCAACACCGCCCTGCACTCTCCAACTTGAAGATTTTACCTGCCAACTTCTGAAACTTAATGAAAAAATTGTATAAAGAGCTAAAGGTTACTAAATTATTCCGAGGAGCAGACCACATTTAAAGAGACATGCAAGAATAATCCTATGATCACAGTGAAATAAATCTTCCCATCTTTACCACACTAAAGATGAGCCTTTTTGGTACAGTAGCCATAACGATCCTAATGTGTGGATGGAGAAAGAGACTTGAGAAGGTGTTAGACACAGTTAGTGACTGGCAACACTCAGCAGCAAGAGCTAGGCAATAAATCCAGGTCTAAAGGTCTGTAACCTGCTCTAGTTCCTGCAACTACACGATGAGTGACATCCTTGAACACCCACTTCTCCATCCAGCTGAACAAAACAGAGTCTGTTCGGTCTACTCCTCGACTGACCAAGAAAAACACACAATCACACTTTACTCACCTAAAACTGTCTTTTTTTTCAAATTCATTTATCACAACGAGCCCACAAAACAGAAGAGAAAATATTAGTTAAAGTAACAAGATTACAAGAATGGCTGAAATGAGTTGCAGTTCAGGCTAAAAACAATTTGCAGAAAATAATTGTCTATATTCCAACAGGCACAATGATGAAATTCACTAACACAGTTTCCTAATATTATAGTTTTTTGGGGTTTTATTTTGATGGTGATAAAAAAACTGTTGATATACGATTACTTTTTTTACCTGTTCTGCATCGCCGCTTCAGTAGGACCAGGAAGTTTTGTTCTCTACTGGACAGCAGAGGTCTTTTTTGGCTCCAGGCGTAGATGTCTAAGTACTCCTCATATTAGATTGATAATGCACAAAGTGTGCACTCAGGAAACGTCACTGAAGACCAACACTCAAATCTGACAAGACAAATTTGACAACTTCGTTTTTCCGAATCTGCATGCTGTCAGTGCACTAAATCTTTACATCTTCCGATGAAGAAATACTTGCTACAAAAAGACATTTGCAGGTCAATGTCATCTTACAAACCTAGCTAAAACAAACTTCATTCCAAGCAAAATAGACTAATATAGCAGTTGTCGCTTATGTTTGTGTTTTGAGTGAAGTGGAGCTTCTGTGTTTTGGACAATACAATGCAGCTGCTCTGTGAAGGCCTGTGTATTTGGAAAAAAGATGTGTGTGTCTGCAGGAAACCAATCTGACCCCAGGGATTAGTTGTAAGAAACTCTCATTCTGCTCCAGATGTTTATCACGTCACAAAGCCCTCAAAGCTCTTGGTGAGTAGTAGGTAGAGAACACAACCTCCTTTCAACACACGCCTACATACACACAGAGGCACACAATCATTCCAGCTGCTGCTGAAGGTGTCGCCCAGTAAGGAATTTGCTGATAGTAAATTTCCTGTGCAAATTATTCTGCTTTGGGCAACAATATATGGTCAAACGATCCAATATGCTCACACAAAAAGTAAACAAACTTTTTTTAGTACTCTTGAAAGACAAGGGACACCACAAAATAGGGGAAGTTGCGTGGAGGCTATTTATAATCTAAGGGTGGTTTACTAAAACCGAAAGATAACATTCACAGATTACATGCACAGGAAATATTTCAGTTTATATAATGCCAGATGTATAATTTTTTTAATAACCAATTTCTCATTACCACAGTAAGCATTTTTCTGAAAAATCGGATGTATTGGAAGTGTTTTATGTTATTTATTTAGTGTAAATGTTGAGATTGATTGTTTTTGATAGGGAAACCACAAAAATACATAATTGGTGATTAAATTATGATCCCAAACAAAAGGATTTGACATTCATGCAATAGAACTTTGTAAATTTCCAGCTGTCATTCCCTGTGTCAGGCGGAATCCATCTCCTTTGTTCAGAAAATATTTTGAATACGTAGACAGAATCACCTGCTACAGCCGATCAAAATAAGCCAAAGCAATAGAGCTCAGATCAATTTGGATTTTTACATAAGTCCTGTGAACATTTAAATAAAACAAATACCGTTTAATGTTTTTAATGTTATAGTGAAATCAAATTTAATTATTTTATATATGAAAAGTACTGCAAATTACCAAAATATTTTTTTATAATAATATATGTGAAGCATATTATAAAATAAATTATTCACCTAGTTATTTGTTTATTATATGGTGGGAGATTTTTTTTCTCTCCATTATCAAGAGCTGGAAATGAATGGGAGTGAGGGAGGGGGGATTGGCTGCGCATTACTAACTGTCGCCCCTGGCCTATGAGTTGCGCCTCTGTTAATCGATCTCAGCATTAAAAAAGGGACTTTCAGCCATTAAAGACAAATCTTAAGATATGTTTCAATCTACTTGTAAAGTATAAATCATAAGACCTGATATACAAGCAACTAATTATCTGAATTGTCTGTCTCATGTCAGAAGCAGTTGCAAGAATTGACCCTTGTTCCAGAGGCTGCAGCCGTGCGTAATAAGTGCTGCGTGTCCGGATCGCGCCGAACCTTCAGGCGGACATGTCACTTATCACACACATTAAATATCAATCGGAACATCTCTGAGCCCTCAGCCGTGCTCTGACACGTCATACTAAAAATATTTCAGCACTGCTGAAGCGCAGCGGAAAGTGGAATTATGTAAAAGTTGAGTGAAATGATAGTTTCCCAGTGGTGCGCCTGAAGTTGCTTTTGGTTGGCTTTATGTGTGATACTATACGCAATTACAGTTAAACATCCCGTTAAGACTTTTCAAGTTTAAGTGGAACTGTGAATGATCAAAATGCGCTTGATGGCGAACTTCAGCACCAAAGCCAGGAGATAGAAGAGAAAAATAAATAAATAAATAAAATAAAAATTCTTACCGAGATACTGCCTGATGTCCAGCAGGATTCTTGGAGCCCCGCCGTTCAGCTGGTAACAAAGCGAGCCGAAGCAGAAGAGGAAGAGCGCAGCCATGCAGAAACCATAACCTCGCAAGGAGAAGCGCCACGGTAGAGCGCAGAGCAAGCCGTGCTTTCGGTGGTGTCGCTCTCTGATGTGGTTGGGAGTCTGGTGGTTGTTGCTGTTGTGAGGGGGACTGCTGCCGAAATTCTTCATCATCTCCTCCTCACAAAGCAACGTGGAAAGTCACCCATCCGCCTCTTGGAAGTGAAAGTTGCCGCTTTCGGATCATTTGATGGAGGGGTGAAACAGGTAAATTTTGGAGACTTAAAGAAAGTCTGGATCTCCTCCGCCGCTGCTTCTCCTGCTGCTGCCACGGGGTTCTTGTTGTTTTTTTTATGGCAGTCAGCGTTTTGCTCCAGCTCTGTCCGTGCTTCTTTTCCTCTCGTTGGATGAGTGTTCCTTCCTTCCGTCCTTCCAGCAGAGTTAAGGGTTCATCCTTCTCCTGTGAGGCTCTCGGTGTCAGATTACTGAACTTGGAAAGAAGGAAAGCGTCCACTTCACATTTTGTGTGGATTGGGGAGTGTAAAACAGCGCCTACCAGTGTCTGTTGAGGGATTCATTATAAATAGTTGGTAGGCTTTGAACTTTGATTGTAGAAGCTGCTTTATATTTTTAATGAGATTTTTTGCGATTTAGGCTATAGATCAGCGCAAGTTATTAAATAACTGTGAAGTTGGTGGAAAATCATTTATGATTTTCAAGCGTCAAGAAATAAAAAGTCTGAAAAGTTCAGTGGATTTTCATTTGTAGCCCCTGGATCAGTAGTTTGTAGAATTATCATCTGATGTGACTATTTACACATAGAGAACATGCAAATTACCCATATCCTTTTTTTTTTTTTGGCCAAAATTGCTCAAGTTGAGGCAGAATATCGCAAATCTCACCATTTTCACTCACTTGTATTTAAATGTCGGCTTTGACTGGGCCACTCTAATATCAGAAATAACCTAAACCATTCCACGGTTGCTGTGTGTTCAGAGTAAGTAGGTGATTTCTAAAGAAAATGTATATGTGCAATGCACTGTATTTATTCAGCTGTATTGGAATAATTGGGGCTGAACATAAATACACACTAGACATTTCAGATTATTATTTTTAAAACTTTGTAAAACCATGTATGTTTTTCCTTCAGTCAAAAATGTGCACTACTTTGAATGAAAAAAAAAAGCAAAACAGTGTTTTGTAATTTATGATTGTAGCGCAGACTTAAAATCCTAATGAATCTTTTCTGGAATTTCAGCAAGATCAAGTCTGATAAATCTGGGGGGACTATGACACCATTAATGATTTAAAAGTTATTTAAGAGACATTAAAATGAAATCCAACAGCACTTCAAAACTAATGTGGTGTGAGCTCCCTTTCTACATTTTGTCAGTATTTTTGCAGCAGAATTCTAGATCATTGGTAGACAAACTACACTGCAGTAATGTATTATGCATGTAAAAGAAAACCATAATAAATCAGAAAAACAATCAAACCTCATTGAAACTGTCATTTCGCATTTAATCAAATTAAAGTGTCATGACTTAATATTGCTGCAGGTAGTAGACAAAAGAATGTTGAAGTGTATGTGTGTGTGTGTGTGTGTGTGTGTGTGTGTTTTAAACTTTCTCCTTCCCCCTCAGGCCAGTTGTTACAATCTTTGTTTGAACTATAACTTTTTCCACAGCAGCAACAGAACCCACCATTAGACCACACCTTCAATTAGGAGGTTTTTCACAACTACTTTGTCAACAGGCCTCCAGGGTGACAGCTGTCAAGGAAGCAAAGTAATAATTAATAAAAATAAAAAAAATAATAATAAAAAAACAATTTGGCTTTAAAGAGCAAAACTAATGAAGTATAGAACAGTAATTTTGCAGAGTTGACGGAATAGTATTTTCCCCACTTAAAAAGTCTTTGTGGAACAGGCAGCAATTTTCAAGCTCTGCAGCAAAAGTTATATTTTCAAAGTTTAAGACCAAGACGGGCAGCCCAACTGGCACAGTTGTTTATTGTGCCATTTGATGGTATAGATTTCACTTAGACCACTACTCCAAATCACGTTTTTTCTGTGACTCCTGATATTCATTAACTTTGCAGGCATCTAGGGGGAACTTTTACACCCTATATCACACCTTCCAAAGGTGGGTGATGCTACTTTCCAGCTTTATTCCGCATAGTGTCAGTCAGAATTGTACATGATGCTACAATTTAAATACTATATTTAAATTGAAAATGTAACAATGCTTTTTAACTTATTTTGTTCTCGAACAGATTAATTTTATTTAATCTTAGTAGGATAGCTCAGTTCATTAGAATTGATCGAAACTTGGATATAGCTGTGTGTAACGCAGCTATATCCGTGTTACACACAGCTATATGTGTTTTAGATCCCAGGAGTGGGATCTAAAACACATCAAAACTGGTTTTTACAATTGCTAAGGGAGGCTCTCATTAAGCTTCTAGTGAAAATATATGGATATGCTTAAAAGCAAGACACATCAAATAAAAGTAGTTGTATTTGAATTATTTGTTTGTATATGATGGTATGTGATCAGTTGAAGTTTCATTGAATTTGCTCTACTTCACACACTCGGTTTAAGTTGTAGGACCTCATTAAACAAATAAATATAAAAATAAGACGTTTATTCAAAAGAACTTGGAATCCTCATTAGCATTGTACATTTAAAAAAAAAGAGTCTTGCCACATTTGGATTAAGCATAGTGGATTACATAGTTGCTTTAGAAGTAAGCAGCTATGTAATCCAGTTTACTTCTAACAATAATTAGTGTGTAGTGAAATCAGAATAATACTTGGACCTGGCAGTGATAGAAAGCTGAAATTTTCTCCTTAATCCTAAAAACACTTTACAGATACTTCAGATACACTTTGTCAAAAATCACATAAAATAAGTTAATTGACAACAGTGTCCTCACAAAAGGAACAGGTTACATATAGTATGCAAAATCTAGGCAGATCAGTGCATGCTGGAATGTCATTGTGTTTGTAATTCTTGTCAAATGAAGTCAGATGACTCCTCGGCATCAAGTCAGATAAATGTCAAGCAAATAAAATTGTCTGCGACAAAATATTGCGCTGTGGGGTTCCAGTACTTGGCCTGTACTTTTCTCAGAGTAAAGATGAACAACAGGAAAAAGCTTTAGTGCTTTTGACCACAGAAGCATGACTAAAAGAGCCAAACCAAGGCAACCTGCAGAGTTAATGTTGGTTCCAAAATTATTACTTTTTAAAAATCCAACAGAGCAATGATGCTAAAAAGAAAACATGGGTACAGATAATTTGTTATTTTTAGTTTTAATAAAGTGCTACTACTAAAAGCTAATATAAGATAATAATATAGTATGTCTAGCAGATGGTTTTTAAATAAGAAGCTATTGTGTTACTTCTGTTCTGAATCCACATGCTTTTAATTTTAGACTCTGATTTAGAAATGTCTTTGTGCAAAATTACAGTGTCCCAGTTTATTAAACTGACTAGAAAGAAATGAGTCCGTCCATTACTGCCTGTTTTTCAGTTGCACTTCCAGCTTACATGGTGCCTTTGTGTCCCCTTTAAATGCCCGAGACTAGGAGGAGCCCATACCTTATTGAACAGACATGGACATGCACCAAAGTAAAAATAATGGTTGAATTCATTGGATGGTTATGGCCCCCAGGACAATTCTCAGACTCTCCAGTGGAGAGTCTGCTACTCTCCACAGGAGAGTCTGAGAATAATAATAAGTTAATTGACAACAGTGTCCTCACAAAAGGAACAGGTTACATATAGTATGCAAAATCTAGGCAGATCAGTGCATGCTGGAATGTCATTGTGTTCTGACACTCTCCACTGGAGAGTCTCAGAATTGATGTGTCACCCACTCTTGATATGTCACCCATATCAAGAGTAGAAACTGCTCGGTGGTCAATGTATAGCAAGAAACAATTTATTTATATTTCGGAAAGACAAATAGTTATGGACATTACTTTTTGTTGTTTCATTACACAAGCAAAATCTGTATGGACAATCATTAAGTAGACGAAAACCAAATTAAATCATTTGTACACGTATTTTACAATACATACTGTAGTTCCTTACTGAGCAATGTGCAGGAAGGTATTGCTATTTATATAATACAGCTAATTACAGTTGATATGAATAATAAAAAAAAGAAATAAGTTATTAACACAACATAAATTACACATAGAGAATGTGCAACTTCGCCAAAGCATTGTATGTATGCAATCAAGAATTTAGTTTTGTAAGACTGAAAGCTAAAAATGAGTAACTGGAGGTTAACACATGGTTGGTAAATTGGCATTGGGAACTGAATACAAAAAAATAAAAATACCAGCATACCTCATTAAAACCCTTTACAATACCTGACATACATGTCCATTTGGGGACCTGTGAAAATATGTAGCCAATCTTACCTATAAAACCGCTAGTTTAACCATCTAAAGTGCAATTACAGTGTCAGTATTTTCATTCTTTTACAGAATGCTTCCTGGGTCTTACTTGTTTGAACTGTGACTCCATCCTCACTTTCCCAGAGCACCACTTTGATTGATGAGAGAAGAAGGCATCAAATAACCACATCAAGTGCCAGTTGCAGAAACAAGCTCAGCAACAGCAGCTAGTCAGATTTTATAAACGAAACAAACGGATGGAGTAAGTCTTCAGTCCAGTACTGGCAACGAGAGATATGATTTTAAACATGTAAGAAACGGACAGGGGGAATATTTGTTGTTTGCTCAGTTTCATGCAGAATGCACAACCCAATGTTCTTAGTTATTTTCTTCTCAATAACGTTCTAACAGTCTGATTCCTCTCAGAAGGTCCCTGAAGTTTGAGACAGTTTGCTTGACAGTTTATTCCCATCTTTGCATGGCAAGGGTCCAATCCTGCGCCGGCACTGATTAAATGTTTGATGATACTCCTCAAGAGCTTTAATTCCTGAATGTGCTCACCAATGTGTAGACAGACCAGTGGATTCCACATATGTTGGCTAAGATCTCAGCTGAATCTTTGTTTTTCTTCAGCAAGATGTACTTTCAATGTATTCCAACATGGTCCAGGGAGATTCAACATGGGGGGACGTCTCGTCTTGTTCTTTGGTCCATGTGCACCACCAAAGTAATTGTGTGTATATATAAAAAGTTTTCTTGACAGACACAATCAGATGAAGAAAAAGCCCTGCATGTTTTGCACAGCTTCTTGTAGCTATTCATTCATATTGGTAAGGCAATTTCAAGTGTCCTTTTCCACATTGAGGAATGTACTTTCAGTAAAAGCTGATTGTGATTACTGCAGCAAACAAAGCTTTCTGTAAGACTCACCACACACCATGGTATGCCTTGAAAAAGATGTATCATAAAAGTTGAAATATAAAGACATCATTTGTTTGAATTTTTTTTTTCAAATGACTTCAAGCAGGCCTGAAACGGGGCTTCCTTTCAAAAGCAAACCCAA